TCCTAATAGCACCATTATTTTTGGAACACTAGGCATAGCAACCGGCTGTAGTAACATATAGCTCAGCAAGCCACACATCATTTTACAGTTCATTCACTGAGATGAATGTAACTAATACGTAGCTAAATTATATTCACAGGACCATACAGCTATGATTTAATTATGGGAGGACACAGTTTAATGAAGGAGCATGTCAAATGTTATGCTTTTGGTTCCATTCCTTCCTGGAGGGGCAAACCCAGGTGGTGATGTTGGGGAACTCCTTTTAGATGCCTCAGCCGTTCTGTCCCCCATGCTTATTTAACATTTACATGAAACCACTGGGAGAGCTTGTCCAGAGTTTCCGGCTTCGGTGTCACTAGTATGCTGATGACAACCAGCTCTGTTTCTCCTTTCCACCTACCGGTAAATACAAGGAAGCTGTCTTGGTTCTAAACCAGTACCTGTCATCTGGATGAGCGTGAACAAACTGAAACTTAGTCAGACAAGTCAGAGGTGTTCTTGGTCAGTCAGAAGGCACAACAGGGAATAAGAATTCAGTCTGAACTCGGGTGTGTGTGTGTGTGTGTATAACACTCCCCACGAAGGCACAAATTTGAAGTTTGGGCATGCTATTAGATTTAGTCCTGAGTATGGATACTCAGGTCTCAGGGATGCCCAGGAGTTTGTTTATTATTTATTAAATTTGTACGCCACCCTTCATTCTTAGATCTCAGGGCAGTTCTTATACTGTATAAAAAACCCACAAAATACATAACACCACCACAAACCAATAAACCCCCTCCCAATTGCACAGTTGAAGCTAGTACATTAGCTGGGCTTGTTCCTTGAGATGTCTGGTTTGGCCACAGTCTTAATTACATCCTATTTGGATTACTGCAGCACACTCCATGTGGGGCTGTCTTTGCAAAGTGATGAGGAACCTCCACTGGCTCAAAAAGGTGTAGCCAGATGGTTGACTGGGGCTGATTTTAGGGAGAATAACAGCTGTTACAACAGCTGCAGTGGCTACCAGTCTATTTGTGGGCAAAATTCAAAGTGCTGGTTATTACTGTATATTGAGAAGAAGTTAAATGAATGAGATTTTGATAGATTGTGAAGGGGAAATCAATCAAAATAATGTAATGTTTCCAAAAGGAGATTCTAAGACACCCACAGATTAAAAAAACCTTCATATCCATGAGAATTCACCCCAATTTTGGCCCCACCTATGTGGCTAAATAGAAGTGATATGAGATTAACAGCGCTGATCTGACAGCAGTAAGAAAGAATTATTTCTTTCTCACCCAGAAAAATGAGAATAAAAGCATTATCTGCTGGAATCCTACTTTAATTTTGATGGCTTCTCACAAGTTAAATGCAATCTCCTACAACACACTTTCTTCCCCCTTAAGGACTGCACATGCTGCTCTTCAATATATATTGCCTCATAACACAAATCAATCTATGAAAGTTGCACTTACTTGCACGCTGCTTTGGGAATAAAACCCACTGAATGGGGCTTACTTCTGAATATAGCAACCTCCCATATCAACCTGGCCGATGGTAGTACCTATCCTGCACGCTCTGTGACTAACCTCCAAAATGTTAGTGGTTTAGACCCAGATAAAAGGTGAGATCAATGGGACTTATGCTGTTATCCTAACTTACCCTATTGATTTCAACATAATCCTAATTTAACTAAATTAACGATGAAGTGTTATCTGGAGTAAACTCCTGAGCATCATTTGAAGTATACAGGAGGTCTCTATGCATCCTACATGTTTGATCCTTTGGAGCAGTACACAAATAATAACAATAACAATAAATTATACTATATGCCACCCATCTGACTGGGTTGCCCCAGCCACTCTGAGAGACTTAACAACAAATTAAAGCATCAAACACAGTAGAACACCAAACATTAAAAACTTTCCTATACAGGGCTGCCTTCAGATGTCTTCTAAAAGTCAGACACAGTGGTGCCTCGGGTTAAGAACTTAATTCGTTATGGAGGTCTGTTCTTAAGCTGAAACTGTTCTTAACCTGAAGCACCACTTTAGCTAATGGGGCCTCCTGCTGTTGCTGCACCGCCGCCACACAATTTCTGTTCTCATCCTGAAGCAAAGTTCTTAACCCGAGGTATTATTTCTGGGTTAGCAGAGTCTGTAACCTGAAGCGTAAGTAACCTGAAGCGTATGTAACCTGAGGTAGGTACCACTGTAGTTGTTTATTTACATCTGATGGGAGGGCATTCCACAGGACAGGCACCACTACTGAGAAGGTCCTCTGCCTGGTTGCCTGTAACCTCACAATGAGGAAACCATCAGAACGCCCTTGGAGCTGGATCTGTGTCCCAGCTGAACAATGGGGGTGAAAACACTCCTTCAGGTATACAGGGCTCAGGCCTTTTAGGGCTTTAAAGGTCAGCACTGGGCTTTTTCTCAACCGAAACTCAGTTCTGGCAGGTAGACACCATTGCCATGATAAGGTAACAATGGTGTTGTAATGTGGTTATTACCGCTCAATATTTTGGAGCAATTATAATTTTCGACGTTTTAAAAAAGCACAAGGGAAGAAGGCTGAAGAAGGGAAGGCTCACTGAGGCAACCCAGTCAGATGGGTGGCATATAAATAATAAAATAATAATTATTATTATAAGCAGCTACAGCCAAGGAAGAGTGCAGCATATGCTGAAAATGTCCCTTTGACTAGTTATACCAGTCCAACGGAGGGCCTTGTAGCTGAGGATGGAATGTTAGTTTGTGTATCTGATAAACGTAATGAAGGATATAGGCCTACAACTCCATGAGGCCTTCCTGAGAGGCCAGCAGCAACAGGCCAGTCAGAAGACCTGTTAAGACTAAGCCCCAGGAAGCAGAAATAATAATAATAATAATAATAATAATAATAATAATAATAATAATAATAATAATAATAATAATAATAATAATAATTTATTATTTATACCCCGCCCACCTGGCTAGGTTTCCCCAGCCACTCTGAGCAGCTTCCAGCAAAGATTAAAAATACATTAAAACATCAGCCAACGAAAGTTTTGCCACAAGGGAGTTGGAAAATGGAAAGGGGACTCGGGAGAAGCACAATCTGTTCCTTATTCCCTTATCCCAATGTAAGAAAAAGGAAGAGCCCAGGGCAAGAGTGAATTCTCACATGTAGTTCATGTTTCCAACAATTACTGTCTGTGGCCCCCAGCTTTGCACACACACATGCACGGGCCCTATAGGGTGCGGGAGCAGGGCTCCCAACACACCAGCCCCATACAAGCTCTGTGGGTCACCACCAAATGCTACCCCCACTGCAGGCGTGTCCCACTCAGTGTGTGCTCCTGTTCAAATGGCAGTAGTGAACATGCGGAGGCTAAGCGTGGCAACACCGAAGCGCCACTCCACAAGTCCGTTTTGAACGACTGAAGGGCCTATTTTAAACTGCATGCGATAATGCCCATTTAGGACGCTTCATCCTCGGGGGAGGGGGGAACCCTGTTGCACACAAAGACTTAAGGTCGTTGGGAGTTGAATCTGCATTACGGGATGATGGCAACTACTGGGGCGCGCGGGTTGCAGCGTGGAAGTCATTTGAAACAGCCTACGACGTCCGAGGATGAAATCTTGCATCCGTGACGCGACTCTTGCCTCTCTCTTCCCACCACTCTTTGCCCCCCATAAGCCTGAGAGGAGGGTCCGCTGCCGCGGCGAGATGGAGCGGCCTGCGGGCGTTGTTCCTCCTCCTCCTCCTCCTCCTCGCCCCACCCCAGTGAACGGGACTCGGGCTAGAACTGCGGAGGCCGCGGCTCTCCAGCTCCGCGGTACTTCTGGATAGGCGTGCGCGTCTGGAAAGTGGGGAGGGATGGAGAGGAGGCGTCGTCGTCAGGGAACAATGCCTCCCGCCGCCTGGGAGGACCGGCCTTGATGCAAGCGCGGGTTCCCTTGCAGGCGAGCTTGCAAATGCAGGAACCCGGCTGCCTAGGAGCCAAGGCGTCCTCTGCAGCGGCGGCGCCCTCCTCCACCTCCTCCTCTCGCTTCCAACCCAACTCTCCTGCCCCCGGTGGCCCGGGAGGAACTGAACTGTCGCTGCACAGGAAGTAGCGGCTGCTGGGAGCACACAACCGCACACACACACACCCCACATCTCTCTCTTTCACACACACACACACAGAGGCAGCTGGGTCTGCCGCACTCCATGCCCTCGGCTCTCCGCACCGGAGCCCGGCGCCGCCGCGACCCCAGGCTTCCCGCCCGCCTCCTCCTCGGAGCAGCCCTCCGAAGCGCCGCCGCAGTGCCAGAGGCGGCGGCCCCAATTGCGGTAGCCGGCGCTGAGGGAAAGAGGTGGCGGCGCTGCTCCTCCTCCTCCTCCTCGGGGGAAGGCGGCGGCGGAGGTGGCCGCGGCTCTTGGGTCGGAGCTGGGCCAGGGCAGCCGCGGGGCAAGGAAAGGAGGAAGGAGGCGAGACGGCGTCGGCTGCTGCTGCTGCTGCTGCAGGTTTGTGCTGCTCCGGCAAGGGATCGGGTGGTGCAGGCGGGTTCGTGCAGCTGCCGGCAGATCGGGTTCCTCTCCTCCCTTTCCCATGAGGAGAGACCCTCTCACCCCTTTCTCCCCTGGCACAGCGCCGGCCCCGGCTTGCCCTTCTTCGCAGGTGGCTCCGCTGGGCTCAGCCTGCTTGCCCGCCCCCCCCTCTCCCCGCCTTCCTCCTTTATTCCTTCCCCAGCCCCTCCACGCAGCCCTCTCCTTGCTGCAGTCCTTCCTCGGGCGCCTCCCTCCCCCTCGCAAGCCTCGTTCTCCGGCTGCCAACTTCTTCCTGCACCCCGTTCCCTCCCCCGGGGAACCTTAATGGATTAGTCTCCTTTCCCCCCTCGCCCTCGCCCCTCTGCATTGTGCGAGCCGCTGCCTTCAGACCGCTGGATGGTACGGGTAGGAGCGTCCCCTCCTCCCTTAATTTCCTCCGTTCCCCTAATTGCTTCCGTGCTGTGGTAGTGAGGGGAGAGCTATGTCTGCCGGATTTCTTCAGTGTGTATGTGTGTGTTTTTTACTTTTTGGCTGAGTTTCTCTTCGGGGTTTTTTTTAAACACACCAGGCGTTAGCCTTGCGATGCTGAAGCAGCCCTTGTCTCTTTACACACACCCTTCCCTACGGTTGTGCTTCAGGCCCCCATCTGCTTCTCCGAAGGATTGTGAAATTGGAGGTATGCTTTCTGGGCTTGTACGTTGCCGCTTTGCTTGGATATCTGTGGTGTTGCAAGAAAAGGAAGGGCTTCCATATCGTGGGGTGGACTCTTTTTAGACTCATTACTTTCTCTTTAGCCTTTATATTTGTGGGCTGGGATTGTACTGTATAGGAATTGTTAACAAGCATTTCTTCAGTCGCAAGGATGCTCAGCGTTTGGAATTCTTAGTGACAGAAACTGGAAAAGACTATATCCTTTACGCCAGACTGTCTCGATTTCATGTGTTTGAGATGCAAGAGATGCTTCCTGAGGGCCCGTCCTACTCAGTTATCTTGTCCCTGGGAGTTTCGAGAGAATTAAGAGGTTTTTGCTATTAATTTTGCTCAGTCTGTGCTTTTAAATGAATCAGTAGACACTGGTCTGTTAAAGGGCAAGGGCCTTAAAATTAAGGTATGCGTACTTGCCATTCTACTTTTAGTATGAGAACATTGTTCTCTCTGATCAGATTAGATTTAATCAATTTGTGTTTCACAGACGGAACCTCAAAGTGATTTGCAATACAATAAAACTCAATTAAAATGAAATAAATGTGTTAAAAGTGTTCATCTACAAAAAATACCACCATACTTAAAAATAAAATAACCATCCCACCCACGTAAGGATGAACACTGGAAGCAAGACAGTTAGCACTGATAAAATGCCCTGGAGAATCAAAACATATTTGCCTGATGGCAGAAGGTTGGCAAAGTTGGTGCAAGGTGAGCTTGCCTGGGAGGGGCATTCCACCTGGGGGTGGGGGTGTCACCACAGAGAAGGCTCTGTGGCTTCATAGGTAAAATGTTACAGCATGTAAAGTGAAATGTGAGTTTTCCACTGTATGTAGATTAGATAGTTGCTGCAGCACACACCAGCTATCTCGTCTGTGAGCCCATACTGCTGACCAGATTACCCTGAGATGAACTAGTTATCTGAATTATTGTGGCAAGTCACAGTGAGTTGTTGTTTTTTAAACCAAACATTGGGTGCAGATGTGTGGTACAATAGTAATATGTAACCATGGGATCTATGGAGTGTAACAGAATAAATTCTCTCACTGCTTTAAATATGTCCTTATTTGTATAGAGAAAAATATTGCTTCTGAAGCAAGTCTGAATATAAAGCTCTCATGTTAGTTTAGCCTAATTGGTAAGTGTGTGTGTGTGTATATATCTATATATCTATATATACACACACCTATCTATCATCTATTTGTCTCTTATCTATCCACCTATCTTTACTCAAAGATCCACGTTCCTCTTCCTTTGAATATGGCAGATCAACTACATAGAGGACCTGACATAGGGAAATTTGTGGCCTTCCATAAGTTGTTGAACTACATTTCCCACAATCCCTGACCATTGACCCTGTTGGCTGTGGCTGATGGGAGTTGGAGAGCATAAAATTCTTCATCCCTGATTTTTTTGGACTACAACTCCCATTATCCCTGGTTATTAGTCATAGTGACTGGGGCTGATGGGAGTTGTATTCTTAAACATTTGGATGGCATGACACTGACTATCTTTGTTTTAGGTAGACTGTTACCACTGATAAGGTAGAGTCAAACCCTCTGTTTGATGCATTATTAATTTAGTGCAGCTTTTAAACTTCTGTCGCAACCAGAAAATGAGAAACGCTAAAAACACACCCAGTAGTTGTCATTCTCCATGCAACCATCTACATAGTTGCTGTGGGTGGAATTCTATGAGGTCCACTTGCGCAATGAGACTTCCCCCACGCAATTCTTACCCCATGCACACCCTAAACCTGCTATGGGTTTTCTCTCAACCCTCCAAAGCAGATTTAGGGAGTGCGGGAGGAGTCCTGTTGTGTGAGCAGACCTTGTTCTGTGCAACAACAACGTAGTTGAATCCCAATCTGTGTTAACAAAAAAAGAACATGCAAAAATGGTGCTGTCTGCCGCAGCAAGAACGGGTATTATGTGGCATCTGTGGTAGTGCCAATTCCACCATTATCTGGCTTTTGTGCTAGACACTTGTGACGAAACCATGTTGAAGCGAAAGTGGTATACCCTGGAGCGGAGGCTGATGAAGCAGGCTGGAAGACTGCTAGAACGCAAGCGGATAAAGACTCCAAATGAATACAACTGAACACAGATATGTGTGGATTATCTAGCCTACTCTGTGGCAGTGAAGTCAGCAAAGAAGGGTAACTTCTGTGCTGCAAGTTAGTCCTTGACTTGGTGTGCAGCAGAGCAATGTAAAGTGTAGTGTGGTGTGGTGGTTTATATCCTGGCCCAAAGAAAGGCAGAGCTCTCAATAGCCTGTTGTCTATTTGCTAGACATTTTTAGGATAAAATCACTTGTATCCATAGAGATGCAGACTCTACTGTCATGGTAGGTCAGTCTCTTGGGGTGTCTACAGAGCAGTCTGGTCAGATGCCATTGGATGAGTTTCCGTGGGTGCAGTTCAGGGTACTTGGACAAGTGTGGGTGACCATCTGTATTCTTGCCCTTCCTTGTTAATAATGTTTGGTAGAATTTGTGTTCCATTAGTTCTAATTTAACAAATGAACCTCTCTTTTGGGTTAACAGCCCCCTGCTCACTTTCTTTCTTCCATGATTATCGCCACAGTTTCTGGAAAAGAGATTTCTCGTGAGAATAATATGGAGGGGAGACAAGTTTTATGGTCATAAAGCCACACAAATTAAATTTGAAAGTCTTCCACCCCAATTAGTTTTTCTTCTAGCAGAATTTAGTTTTTCCTCCTAGCAGGTATGTGACTCTACAAAAAAAGCTCTCCAAGTTTGATCTTCCATATGAAATCTCACTGTTCTAGTCTAGTTCATGACACCTTGTCATCTGTGAATTTGGGTGTCCATGCTGGTGGACATTGAAACTGCAAGCAGTTCAACATGCCAGAGTGTTCTGGGACTATAGATCACATGGTGTGTCCCACAAACCTTGAATCTATTAAACTCCTATTTTCCTACCTCTTTTGACTTTTTATTACTGTTTAATTTTAGGAGTTTATACCTTTCACCTTCGATAAAATTCATAGAGTAGTTTATAAAACCTTTGTAAAAGTCTTGAGAAAGAAGAGTCAGGAAAACACTTATTGGCCTCCCAACTATTCATGATCATAAAACTGCTCTTTCTTTCAATTCCCCCCTAAATTCATAAAATAGAACAAGTGTATGGACAAAGCTGTGGGCAGCAGGAGGTCATTGTCTAACATTCAAGAATTCTCCACTTTTGGATTACAGCTTTTGGAGTAACAACCATTTAATGTTGAACTGAAATGATTAGGCGTATGTAGAATAATTACAATTAACAGGAATAGCATATTCCTGAAAGAAATTAAGGAAAAATTGAGGAAATAATGAGATCAATGGCTGCCATCCGTGAATAATTCTCCAATTTGATTCTGAAGAAGCATGAAACAGGATATAATCCCAAAGATCGTGCAAGCTATTACAGTGGAACCTCAGGTTACGTACTGTCCTCCTTACACACGCTTCGGGTAACGAGCTCTGCTAACCCAGAAGTAGATGCTCCTTGTTGCGAACTTTGCCCCGGGATGTGAGCGGAAGTCACGCGGTGGCAGCAGGAGGCCCCATTAGCAAAAGCACGCCTCATGTTAAGAACGGTTTCAGGTAAAGAACAGACCTCCGGAACGAATTAAGTTTGTAACCGGAGGTACCACTGTATTGGTATTGTTTGGGTAACTTCATTTTTTTAAATAAAGTGGGTACAGCTTGCATTTTATAATTTTCTGTTTTATGGACATATACTCATATATATGCTTTCATGTATATATAATGCATTAATGTTTCTTTTTTATTATTTCATTTCATTATCACTTAGATTCCAATGATTTTGTTGTTCATGAGCTGCAGAGCTTTGGACAATGTCCCTAGTGCACAATACCAAAATGCAACCAACTTTTAATAAGTATTGGGTGACACTGCCTTAATAGTTATCATTATAATAGCAATATATCATAACTCTTGAATAATTGATGTACATATTTACCTCTGCTCTTAGGAATAGTTGATAGGTTTTTAATTTCTACCTATTACAGGAACATTCTCGACATTTTCTATTTAGGTGGTATATAATGTTGTCAAATCTTACTGCAGAATTCAGTGCCGCAGCTAGCCAAGAATGTACCATATTCCAAAAACTTCGATATTGTAGACCTTGATATGCTAGATACATAGGAAAATGCGATTATTTGTGTCTTGTTATAGGATATGATGGTTATTTTCATGGTCTCCAAAACCACTTGACTGTTCTGCAACTGCTGCGAGGCATTGATTCTTAAAAGCCCACAGTGTGTGTACAAGGATGAAGTGGTTACATTTAGGAAAAGTTGCTTAAGGAGTGTTTGATACACATTTTTAAGTTTTCCGAAGTCCTACTTAATGACCCAGCTCCCTGGTCTTTTTCTGTGAAATTAGAGCTAAACCAATGGCAAAGTGAGTCTGTGACACTCCTGCCTGTAAAACTCCTCTGTGACATCAGAACAGATCATCAGATCAGACACTGGCATCAGGAGGAGCCGGAGAGAGGGTGGCCAGCGCTCAGAAGGATGTGTTGGGGAGAGCAGGATTGTGATGAAGTAGGTTTAACAGTAACTGCTTTGCTAATGGACCCTTGGCTATTTGTAGAATAACTGTCCCTATTGTTTCTTTAAAGTATTGGAGGTTATTACTTTTCCTTTAGATGATAGATATCGCTTTTGGTACTGAAAGAGCCATCACATGCCTTAAAGTCTAGCGGAAGAGGCCCTGCTATCCAGGCAGGCAAGATGAGGACAGGGCTTTCTCTCTCTCTTTTTTTTTTACAGGGAATTGCTGCATTTTACAGAGGGGGAACCTAAACTGAAATCAGTGGAAAATGTAAGGAGCCATGTTATGGGTTGGTTACAATATCACCAGTTACATGAAATGATTAAAATAGACAGGAAAAATGGTTTTTCGGACCACAGCTCACAATTTGAAAAAGAACTTCTACAA